CACTTTCTCAACATGATAAAGACTATAAAAATAACTACAGTTAAATCATGAGTGTATGAGAAACTTGAAGCTGTTCCATTAAGGTCAGGAAAAGGCCAAGACACTTTCTCCATTCTTTTTCAACATCATACAAGTCATAACTAATTTAGTACCTCAAGTAAAGGAAGAAATGATACCTGAGCAGATTAAAAAGAGGAAATAATACTATCTTTGTTCAAATATGACATAATCCTCTATGTAGAAAGCCAGAAAGCACAGTCAAAAACTCTTGAATAATTATATAAAATTATAAGACACAATGTTAATATATAAAATTGAATCAATTTCCTATATACCAGAAATGAACAAGTAGAATGTGAAATGAGAAATGTGATGCCACATACAGTAATACCACCAGAAAGGAAATACTTATTATATTTAAGTATGAGAAAACATGTATAAGATCTATGTGAGGAAAATGACAAAGCTCTGATGAAAGACATCAAAGAAGAACTAAATAAGTAGAGATACATTCCATGTTCTTATACAAAAAGAATAAGAACAAGATTCCTAATACCAATATTTGCAAGGTATCAGTTCTTCCCAACTTGGTCTACGGACACAACATAATCCCAATCAAAATCCCAGAATTTATTTTATAAATGCCAGGAAATGGTTTCTAAAGTTCACATGGAAAGGTAAAAGACCTAGGATAGTCAATACAATAGTGAAAGAGAAGGAAGAAGTTCAAACACTGACACTATGCAACTCCTGTGATTTACTATTAAAGCTACAATAACCTCAATAAGATGGCATTAAGAAAAAATAGAACAGTGGGAACACAATCAAGAGCCATAAAACAGACCAGGATAAATACAGTCAACTGTATTTACAAAGGAACAAAAAGTCAACACAATAGAGAACAGACACATTTTCCACACCACTGTGCTGCAATAACTGGACATCCACCATCACCAACCACGGACCGGACCGGACCGGACCGGGAAAAATGAATGTAAGAATCTAGATACAGAATTTATATCCTGCACAAAAATTAACTAAAAATGAAACAAAAACTCTAAATGTGAAAAGAAAACAAAACAAAACCATTAACATTCCTAAAACCAGGTATAGTAATAAATGCCTGTAATCCCAGCACTTAGGAGACTGAGACAAGAGGATTGCTGCCAGTTTGAGACTAGCCAGTGTACAAAGTAAATTCAGAGGCAGCCTGAACTACATAGTGAGACAGTCTAAAAAGGAAAGGGAGGGAGGGAGGGACGGACAGACATGGAAAAAAGAGGGATAGAGAAAAACTATGGTGAGATTTTGGAAAACTTCAAATGTCCATATAGTTTTGTGGGGCACCAGGTATCTGATCTGCAATTTTTTTTATCGATATAGAGCTGAAAATTAATTTAAAATTAATCTAGTCATTCATATTGTTAGTTCACTGTCAAGAACATGGTATTGTATCCTGGTACAAGTAGTTAATACTTTAAAGAACTGACCCTCCAATTTTTATCTTACAAATGCTTGAGAGGGAGGGAGAGCAAATATTCAAGATACTAAGAAAAATGCACCAACAAGCCAAAGAGTAGGATATTAACGAAGATTAAAAAAAAATCTGGGAGAAAAACTTAAAGATTGGCTTGGGAAAAAAACTGTGAGTTTACTTTTTAGTAGACTACTCAGGTGAATTCCAACAGATAGAATTGTACAACGAAGGCTGGTGCAAAAGACACAAGCCTGAGCCATATATTTGGAGTTATTCACCAAAGTAAAAAAAAAAAATGAAACCCAGAATGATATACTCCTTGACCCACAAACTTCATTCTGTCTTTCCTAACACCTACAACACAACATCAAAAACAATCAGGTCACTGTAATTATGCAAACATATCAAACTATCTGAAATACTTTAAGGATACTACAGAGCGTTATTTTGTTTTGTTTTGTTTTGTTTTGTTTTGTTTTGTTTTGTTTTGTTTTGTTTTGTTTTGTTTTGTTTTGTTTTGTGGTACCAGGAATTGAACTCAGGACGTTACGCTTGCCAGGCAAGTGCTTATTCTACTGAGCTATCTCCCACTACAGAACATTTTTGTCACCTGTATAAAGTATAAGTCTTTAAATTCTCCATTCTATAGGAAGAATATTCTTCAGTTTTTAATGAAAACTCCTAATTAAAATAATCTTTAATTACTTGTGGTATCTCAGGTGGATTTAAATATGACCAACAGTTAGGGCTATTATGATTTAAAGTAATACTAATTAAGTATTTTCAAAACTGTTCTAATAACAATTTGAAATTTATTATAAGCTAAAATTTATATTGGAATCCAAATGAAAGTTCACGAATCATTTAAATATACAAAAGTTTCAAAAATCAGAAAAAGTTTAAAGAAACCGACTTAAACTTTAGTGAAAGAAAATGGTACATATTATCAACTGAGAAAATCTGTGAACACCATCTGCTTGAAAACGCCTCACATTTTAATTTATATTAAAGATGGACCCAACTTATTATAAGTCTCTTTAACCTCCTATACATACTTTTTTGAAGTATTTCTCAAAGTTGCCTAACCTGAGCTCAAACTTGCAATTCTCCTGCCTCAAACTGTCTTAAAATTTGACTGGGAATATAGCTTATAGACTGCTATCTGCTATGAAGGACAGCATATTTTGTGGAATTAAGGTTGAAGAGAAAGGAGGCAAGTGGGCAAATAGAGGTCATGGTCCTACCTGAGTTTCTCAGGCACAGACTTGTGCATATTTTACTCCACTTAATCCTTACAAAACCATTGAGAAGCAGGTATTTAGAGATAGCAAAACAGATTCCATGGAATTCCATATCTATAGTCAACTACTAAGTCACAATGAGAATTTGAGTTCAGGCCCAAAGAGCAACCACTCTCTGTGTTAAGGGACAGTCCCTCACGTCAACACTGCTCCTTCCACTCCCTTCTCACCATCCTCCCAACAAGTTTACAAGCACTTAAACTAGACTGAGTTGTTGTTTCCAGTTTTCCCTCCTTTGCAAATGCAAGACAGCTATTTACTAAAAGACGTCATTCAGGATAACTGCTTTAAGCCCTAACTTTTGCTCTCTGGCATGTCTACACCTAACAGAATATTAACTATAGTGCACTGCCTTGCATGCACACTAGGTCAAGGAAGCTACTGACGCCTTCATTCTTTTTGACTCTACAACAGCGCAGGACTTAGAGCACTGTTAGGTGCTCACAGGTGTGCCCACAGTATCCTACAAAGGTTCAAGAGGGTGGTGGGAGGATGGCAGATCCAAAACAGAACTGTTATTTTCATCTTCTGACTGGCTAGTGACCCTTGGGCCTGAATTCTCTATTGATTATAATCTACAGACAAGAAGGGTCTCACTTTCCTGGGCTCCAATATACGTGGCCCACTATACTTTTCATGCATGTTTCAATAAACATTTATTTCTTATGTGCAGCAAATGAATAAAAACTGTCTAGATACTAGGAGAGATGTAACAATGCCAAAAGAAAAAATTGGTAAATTGTAGGTAAAGAATGAAGTTCACAGAAGGAAAGCAGTAGAATAAATATAGAAGATCAGGATTAGATGAGATTAGTTCTCAAAGTCTCTTTTCATGAAAAGATTAGGAGGATACATGATCTGACCTTATTTGTTTTTCATATTAGTAGAAAATTATTTGGTAGATTTTTAAAAAGGAAATGAGCTGATAATCTCAAAAAATGCCAAAGATTCTTTAATGTGAGTTGATCATCTTTTCAGAAAGTAAGATTTTGTAGAAGGCTACTGACAGAGTTGATATTGAAGAAACATTCTTATCTACAGAAGCACCACGCCTCTTGAATTTGCAAGACTAGAGAAATAGCCAGCAAACACCCCCTGGTTAAGAACCATGTCTGATGGCCTCCACAGAGCGAGCTCTGGCACATTTTTATATTGTCACTTCTTCCTATTACAATGTTAGCCTTGCGGTCTCCTATCTTCAATGATGCTTTGTTAAATACTACAAAGTAGTTAACTGAGCACTCTGTTTTTTAAAGGGTAGCTCTGATTATTTCAAATTTCACATAGTACAGTATTACAGTGCCATCACACCCCAGGGGCTGGAACCTTAAGACTAAGGATCTATGAAAATCTCATTTCTCGCTGTATATCAAATTCTACTACAGGGGGCAGCATAACACATGGAAAGAGAAAGAAGCTTTAAACTGCTAGGTAAGGATGAAGCTTCTTGTCACTTACAGTATACCTAGGCTGGGATGAAATCTCCAGAACTTCTGTTCCCTTATTGGTACAGGCTCCTGCACACTGAACAGACTTAAGAAACAACAGCTCTTAGCTGCCACTGTCACCAATTTAACATTGGCATAGTCTACAGTCTCTAACATAACATTGTTTGCCATAGGTTCCCATAAAAACAAACTGTTTATGACCAAGGAAAAATATTTGTTCTCAGTTTAAAGAATAAGCCAATACAAGGAAGAACCCGATTTTCTAATATCATAAACACAACATTAAAGAATGAAGTATAAATGTCTAGCTTTCACAAAATTTAAGAAACTGAAAAAAAAAATAGAAATAATGCTTGGTAAATTTGTACAAGGCTAATTCTACATTAACATTTTTAAGTGGGACATTTAAAACAATCTTATGACTTCTGCCCTTTTTTTTCAAAAGTCAAAATTTAATAAAACTTGAAAAAAATGGTGACGTGGAATAATGTCTACAGAATTGTCTTACAATTGTCAAGAATTTAAGGGGCTGGGGAAATAGCTCAGTGGAATAATTGCTGGCCTGGCAAACACAAGGTCCTGTTTGATCTCTGGTATGATATATATGAATATTTATAATACTTCTTAATACTTTTTGTAAAACAAAAGTTAGTTCATTTTATTACTATACAAATGAATATTAAGTAATAGTAATAACAAAGGCTATAGGGAGTTTCACTGCAGTTAAAACAGATGTGAAGTGTCTGCCAGTAACAGTAGACTGAACATACTCACTTTCGTTGTCTTTGCATAGAAGGGGGAGGACAGTTGGTGAATGGGCAGGTCCACAGTACCACTGGAGTTTGTGACACTGTTACTATGTATATGTTCATCTTCTCTGCTACTGTCATCAGATTGGTCAAAATCATCACTTTCCTGGTCCATTTCCTCCTCCTCTTCATCCTCCTCATCTTGCTCACCAGCATGTTCTTCATCCTCCTCTTGCTCTTCATGGTTTCCCGAGGAGTCCTCATCTACTGAAATAAACTGATTATTGTTTTCTTCCACCTGTCCTTGCTGGGAATCATTGTGGTCTCCAGATCTAGGTTCTGCACCAACAACTTCACCATTCCTTGCGGTGTGCTCCTCCTCCTGCTGTCTTAGCTGCTGTGGCTGCTGCTCTTCCTCCACCACCCGGTTCATCTGCTCCTCATCCGCCTGGCTTGAGGAAGGGTTACCTCTCAGAGAGCCTCCTGTCCGTCGCCTTTTGCTGCCCACAGACAGCAGTTCCTGATTCATTTCCAAAAGCCAGCTTGCCACTTCTTGAACCTTGGCCAGACTATCAGAAGATGCAAAGGCTTTCACATTCTAGAGAAAAAATGAGACAGAAACAGGCTTTGTATTTTCATGTCTTGTGTCTGTATTCTACTTATCACTAGAGACCGCAAAATGTGTTTGATGCCCTCAAGGCATTAACGTGTTCTTAATCATCAAGTCAGAAAGTTTAAATTGTGAAAGTTCTGACTTTCCCAAAATCATACAATAAACTTTAATATTCTTTCAATAATTCTTAGCACTAAGCTATCTAATTTCTTTAACCAGTAAAACAATTTTAAATATTAGATCAGTAATTCATAAACTATATTCTCTGTAACACTTCCTTAAAAAAATGTATTATAAAAGGTACACCAAAAAAAGCATATCCAATGCTCAGTCAAGTTCAGGAAATAAAGAAGCAAATTAAATAAAAAGCTTTTTTTTTTAACCCTGAAAACTTCCTATACAGAATCCTACCTTCAGACAGTGTTCTGATAGGTAACAAGTATAATCATTATAATTTCACTTTTCAACAATAACTGTAAATCAATTAGACAGCAAATAAACAAAAACTTTTACTTGAAAAAAAAATTCTTAAATTCATACCCTCTGACCCAGTAATTCCACTTCTGGCAATCTATCCTAAAGAAGTAATCCTAAAACAGAGAAAAAAGAAATTATACAGAAAATGCTTATTACAGCTTTATCCAAAAAAGCACAAAGAAAAAAAATAAATAAAAATCAAAGCTCATATGTTCAAGACAGAAGTGAGATGGGATACATAACATACTCCCTAAATATGATGTTTGCAAAAAAAAAATCATGAAAACATACTTGTTTGCATTATATTATGCAAAAGGAAATATGCAGGAAATTATATGAACACAGTATGGTTCTTTTCATTTTTTTTCTTTTTGTTCACACTATGATTTTTAACTTGCATAAAAACCAAATGACAATACTTGGAAATAAATTGCACATTAGGGAATAGTATTATACCCTTTAAAGTAATTCTTTACCATATCACTTAAATTGTATATATCAAACACGTTTATTTTGGGGTGGTTTTTAACACAGGCTCATAAAATTTGATAGAGCATCTTGTGTTCATTTTAACCGCACCTTTTGTTGGTATCTAGACACATTTGATGTTCTCTAAAATAATGCCAAGACATTATTGACATTTTTAAAAAGGTAAGCACTTGTTACCTAAAACTTGAAGCTTCATAGTCTGGTTGTTAATCAGTAGGCATGATAACTAACTTTATAAGGATTTATAAGCTAAATAATCTGGTGCTGGGGGGGTAAACTGTGTTTCACTACTGCAAACATGTACCAATAAAACTGCAAAATTAAAAATAACTAAAAAAAAACCCTCCAAAACAAACAAAAGTAACTTGAAACTTTAATACAGAAAAGGTTAACAAATGAACCAACAGTCTTACATCCTAAATATACACATATACATATATAAAATTCAAGTATGCTATTTTTCTGTCAAGATGTATAAAATATCTAACTTATTTTTTATCAATAACTGATGAAATTGAACTTGAGTTTAATAAAATAAAATCTGATGGTAGATACATTTGTCATTGCATTGAACTTTTTACTTAGAATGGCAAAGAGGAAATGACTCAAGGTCAGGAATAACACAGTAAAAGAAAACCACAGATTTTTTAAATTGAAAATGTTCCTTACACCATAGACAAGATAAGTGGGGCTCAAAGAAATTAAGATAATGGGGGCCGGGGAGATGGCTCAGTAGAATAAGCGCTTCTCTGGCAAGCATAAGGGCCTGAGTTCAATCCCTGGTTCCGCCAAAAAATAAAAAATAAAAGAAATTAAGAAAATGTCTCAAGTTCACTAGGTGCTAGCAACTTGTGGACAACCTGACACATGACTGAGTCTTCCTTCATGTATCCCAGTCTACAATAACTACATATTCATCCCTAAAATTTTCTTGACAAATGTTCAGATAGCTCTGATAAAGTTAGACTTTTAAGTACAGAAAACAGCATTCCTTGTAAGTGGACAGGTCTCTGAATTCCAAAGGAGCTTAATGAGAACCATGCAGAAGAGCATGCGATTAGACCAGAGCTGCCTGAAGTATTTACATTAAAAAGATGTTTTATGATATTTTGCCCCTCCAGAAGAGAGAAAGAAAGGGGAGAGGAGGGGGGAAGGATACAGGACAGGACAGGACAGAACAGCATAGGACAGGACAGGACAGGACAGGACAGGACAGGACAGGACAAAGGAACAGGAACAGGAACAGGAACAGGAACAGGAACAGGAACAGGAAAAGCAAAAGGAAAAGCAAAAGGAAAAGGAAAAGGGGTGGGCAAAGCAGCCCTTAGGCAGTGTCTTCCACAATAGTGAGAAGTCCAGAAAGGCCCTCACCTAAGGCCTATGATCAGCTCTAGGCTATGATGGAATAAGTATTATAATTACTGTGTTTATAAACAAAATTCAAAAGTAAGTCTATTTAAAGAAAACAGAGCCACTCTAGGAAGCTTTCAAAGTCCTAAAAAATACAGGGTTACTCTTGGCCTTAATTCTGTAGTACTTCAGACCTAATTTCTGTCTGTCTGCCTGTCTGCCTGCCTGCCTGCCTGCCCTCTCCCTCTGTTTCTCATGAACTTTTAAAGTAGTTTATCACAAACTTTGCCTTTAAAGAAAAAAACCTTGGGGCCAGGGAGATAGCTCAGTAGAATAAGTGCTTGCCTGGCAAGTGCAGGGTCCTGAGTTCAATCCCCAGTACCATCAAAAATAAATAAATAAATAAAATAAAAATAAAATAAAATAAAGACCTTTCTTTCAAACACCATTTGAACTGCTTATGTAAGGATACTTAAGAGACTAAATGTGGACATGGTACACATTACATGGTGTGTTGAGAATCTGTCTTCACCTGAACTACAATTGTGAGCCTCAAAAAGGATTCTAAAGCAAAAACTAACTTGAAACTTGCAGGAGACACCAAGGAATTTACACTAATGAAATGAATAATGTAAACAAATTAGCAAAGCCTCCAAATGACTATATAATGTGAATATTTTAAGTTATAATAGCAGGTGTAACGCAGAATATCTGAGTTACCACATAAGCCTAACTGTATTGATGGTCAAGAAGAATAACTCAAAGAATAACTAGGAATTCTTAACTCAAGCAACTTTCGATTTCTACAGAATCCTAACAGACTCCCTAATCATCAGGAATATATGCTCTGGTCACATCACTTAAAAATCTCATTTCATCTTATGAACATTTTATATAGCAAATTAATAACTTATTTATTAGTTACTATGGTCAAGTTACTTAGCAGTAAATACCTGGAGTGGATGATAAAATATGCTGTATCCTACAATGCTAAAATCCTGCAAGGAGATTTTAGGCTGATCACAGTCCAAGTCAAAGCCAATGTCCTCTATGATTGCCCGTTAGAGACCCTGCAGAACCTACATGTGTCCCACCACTCTGAGCTCACTTCTACACTCTCTGCTTCTGACCTTGCTATCCCCTTTCTGTCCTGGTTCATTCTTAAAGAGCAAAGAGCACTACAAACTGGAGCCTTTGTACTGGCTACTCCTCTCCCTGAACACTCTCAGCTACTTCCATGGTCCCTTCCAGTACTTCCCTCCAGACCCTGCCTTAGATGTCCGCTAACCGAAGGCATGTCCCCCAGTGTCCCATTTAAAATAACAAACCCACTGTCACGTTCCTTTCTCCTCTCATCCCTGACTTGCTCCTCTCCCTATCACTAAAACACCGACACAGTACCTGCTGTGTACCCAGTGCCTACTTGTCCACCTGTTTGCTTCTTTTCTCTTTCCCCACCAGCATTTATGCTCTATCAGGAAAGGGCTTTCCTTTTTTCCACTGCTGCCTCCAGCACCCACAAAATCATCTGGCTCAGGAAGCACCCATGCTTTAAAACATGTTATTTACTGAGTAAATAACCATTAAATCTTTTTTAACCAGTCATGCACTGAACATACTTTATTCACCAAAGAAGAATTCCAAGCCAAGCCAATAATATAACATTTGCTATTTAAAACACATTCTAAGAAGTTACACCCTGTATTCAACAAATCACTTGAGGCATTTCTGAAACTGGTTAGGGTATAAATCCTAATATTTTACCATTTGCCCATAAATATTTTCTAAATCATAAATTTTTCTTTATCAAATTTATTTCTACTACATGCTGTAAAAACAATTATGTAACTAAAACTATTAATATTTCCAACATACTTATCATTTTTTGAGTAATTCTGGTAGGACAGCAAATCTCCAACAGAGCAGCTAACTAGGAAACCACATAGAAAAATTAAGAGATGGCAAAATTCAACAGATCCTCCATAGTAGAGGTTAATGAAATCAACATAAAATGGGCATTACTGGAGAATACCATCATATATGCAGGAAGGAATCCACAGTTTTATGGATCTGAACTGAATAAATCTTGTACCTTATCTATACTGGAAAGGACGCAAAAGGCTATTTCTAAATTGAAACAATAGTACCTACCTTTTATGTTATTTATTTTTGCTCAAATGATCCTGGATTTACTCTATCAAAACTAAATTTTTAAATAGTCATTAAACTATTTCTGTAGTCTTTACACTGGTAGGCGCCCCTTCCCTGCCCCTTCTCTGTTCCTCCACCCTAACATTCCCCTAGTGTTCTCTCTCAGGTAGCACTACTTTTGCTCTCCACTGCTGGTTCCTCCCCTCCCTATAGTTCTGTTTTTTTGAAACCCTGATTTCAGTGATCACATAAACGCTAATGGTTCTCACTTCTACCATCTCTGTCGTTTTGTATTTTAGGGAAGATGTGTTCAGGGTCTCACTACTAGATTGGACTCATAGTGATCCACCTGTTTACAGCCTCCCAAGAGCTGGGATTACAGGAGTATGCCACGCCACCACACCCAGACTCAATTGCTGGCTCAGCATGCCCTGGGGACAGGGCTGGCACAACAGACCCAGGGATCAAACCCCTGGCCCCTGTACCTGCTTGCAGGTGCTTTAATCCACTGAGCTATTTGGCCAGCCCCTCAAGTTCATCTTAAAACCCAAAATTCGACCCCAATATCCACACAAGGCAAAAAAGTTGTCCTTATATCTCCTTACTATTATCTTTATTTCATTGACTACAACTATATTCTAGTCAACTACAGTCATAAGAAACTCACTGGCTCTTAATTCCTTGTTTCCTTCAACAACTTAGTCCTAAAGGCCACTAGAAGCCAAGCAACTGAGGTGTCTGTGGAGGCCAGAGGTAATCCAAAATAGGGTCACTCTGCACATAGCCTCTCTGTACATGGACAGTAAATCAGTAAGGGGTGTCAGAGACCAACTGAGAAGAATAAAGCATGATACATGCCGTGGAGAAGCCCAGTTGGTCAAAGGCAGAACTAGGTAAGAACACGGTGGGTGTGGGGCCCTCAAATGTGAGCAAGTTAAGAAAGGTGTGGACATGGGAGAAAGTCTCAAGGTCTGACTGGGATGAAGAATGGTTCAATGGTCACTATTATTCCCAGTTCAGATAGCCCTTCTTCAACCTAATCTGCTGTAAGAAGCACAGCTGCACGACAGTGTCCTTCATCTCACCTTGGAATCCATGGCCCCATCACAGTACAACTACAGAG